ATATTTCGGGGCTTTTTGTGAAGGTATACATAAAGTTTAGTTTCCCAGTCTACAGTTTCTAGGCAGTTTGTTCCGTGACATTGGTTACATTATTCTTCACGATAGGGAAACTCTAATTATTTCCATCTTAATTGTTCCATTTCATTTAATCTAGTTTCTCTTTGTTTTAAAGTAATTATTATTGTTTGATATCATATAGGTGATTTTTTTTTTTAAGGAGCCATGGTATTTATGGGTGACGTTTATTATTTCTTGAGACAATTTGAGGTTTAGCAACAAGGTAACCTTTGGGGGCGTAGTTTGGGTTCAGAAGTTGAAGAGTATCACAGGGTAGGAGGCTTCTAGTCTTAGTCAAGTAGGTCTGGGGTTTCTGTTATTTTGAGGAATTTGAGCTTCTGTTCTACGTTTCTTTCCCATTCCATCAATGTGCATCTATCATGGCCCTGACGAGAACAGTAGTAGTTGCTGGGCACCATCTTGCTGCTGGGATAGATGAGACGTGGTTTGTGTAGACTGCCCGCCCTGTAGATAGATTTGTTTTTGAGTATTTGGTTTCCTTCTTTCACATTCAGTCCAGCGGAGTAGAAACCAGTGGTTGTGTCTTAGATGGCCACTTGTAGACTTTTATGACCCCAGATACTACTCAACCAAATAAGGATGCAGAACATAATTTTATGAGCTATATTATGCCAGTTGACAGGTATTCTATAAAATAATCTTTCAAATCCAGAAATCCAGTTCTGCAAGGTGTTTAGTTATGTCTAAGAAGTATCTGTAAATGTGACTCTCATATGTTTTATTATATATATGATATATAGTATATGCTCATATAGTCATGTAGATATACACAGGCATGTTCTTATATAAGAGTGGATTTCAAAGAGTTGAAAATGATGGGAAAGAGTGGAAAAATGGAGTTGAAAGATAATTAAATTTTTCCACAAATATTTTGAAGCTCCCTCACACACACACACACACACACACACACACACACATGAATTTTGAGGATGTTACTGACTGGGCAGTTTCCTTTTGTCGTTCAGTGTTGCTGTGAGTTGAAACTGACTTGACAACACCTAATAACAACAATGACACCATATACACACACACACCTACACAGAAATATCTCACATCTAGAAAGTGACTCTCCCTCCACCATCTCTGGAGGGAGTTGAACATTAATGGTCAAGCACAGTTGAACATTAGCTTCTCTGTATTGTTCGTATCCTTTATTAAAAATGAGAACATATAATATTTCTCTTTTGTGTGATAGACTTCTTTTGTTAAGAATAATGCCCTCTAGCTTCATTACTATTCTTAGTGTTTTGGAATGTTTTTGTTTTGCTGATTAGTATTCCATTGATGTATGTACCCCATTTTACTTATCCTTTCATCTGCTGATGGCTTAGGTTGGTTTCACCTTTTTGCTGTCGTCAATTCTGTAACAAAAGTAGAGCACACGATAGGTATGTATATGTCTGTTCATGTCACGTCTATAAGATCCTTAGGTATACATTCAGAATGGACTTGCTGGGTCATATGGCAATTCCATCTATAGTTCTTTGAGAAAGCAATCACCAGACCGTTTTCACATTGTACGTACCATGCATTCTTACCAGAATATGGAGAATTTTAATTTCCCCATATTCCTCCGTCGCTTGTTGTTTTCTGGTTTCTTTCTTTCTTTTATCTTAGTCATATAGTGGGAGTCAGATGGCATTTCATTGTTGCTTTGATTTGCATTTCTCTGATGACTGATGACACTGAAAATCTTTCCATGGATCTTTTGGCCATTTTAATATCTTCTTCGATGAAGTATCTATTCACATCTTTTGCCCAGTTTTTGGTTGAGCTATTCATCTTTTTGTTGTCAAGTTGAAATTTAAAAAATCTTTGACTATATTGCTCCCAAAGATTTTGTTCCCCCTAGCCTTAGGTTGTCTCTTTACTCCTTTGGTAGAAGGTTTAGAAAATATAAATATTTAGCTTTTATGAGGCCTTAGATAGTGATTTTATTTTCATTTTCTGTTGCTCTTGTAGTCATTGTTTTATTTGATAGTGTTATTAAAAAAGTTAAGTCCCAAAGTTTTGTTCCTGTATTTTCTTCCAAGAACTTTATTTATGGTTTTAGATTTAACATTTAGGACTGTGATCCATTTTGAATGAGTTTTTGTGTATGGAGTGGAATACGGATCCAGTTTCATTTTCAGCTTGTTGGAATCCAGTTTTGACAGCACCATTGGTTGAAGATATTGTGCCTTCCTCATCTAATAGATTTGGCATACTTGTTGAAAATCAGATGACTGTAGATCTTTTGATTTCTTTCTGGATCTTCAGCTTTCTTCTATTGGTGTATGCATCTATAAGTAAACCAGTACCGCACTGTTTTGATGATTGGTTTTGTGTAATATATTTTGAAGACAGGAAAGGTGAAGTTTCATACTTTGTTCTTCTTCAAAATGACTTTGACTATTAGGGGTCAATTGTCTTTCCATATAAAATTGAGGATTATCTATTTCATTTCCATGAAGAATCGTGTTGGGATTTTTATTAGTATTGTGTCTGTAGATTGCTTTATATTGACATCTCAACTATATTAGTCTTCCAATCTATGATCAAATAGAAATCTTCCAACCTACTGAACCCTTCTTTTGGCTCTTTCAGCAGTGTTGTATTATTCATTGTATAAGTCTTTCACATTCCTGGGCAAATTAATTACTAGATGCTTTTGTAAATGGAGTTATATTCTTAATCTTCTTTTCATATTTCTCATTTCTGGTATGTAGAAACCCAACTGATTGTGGGTGTGTGTTGACCTTATATGCTTCAACTTAGCCAATTTCCACAAATTATGAGACTAGCAAAGAACATTCGTATGGTTAAGTTTGGGAATCGTATTAATAAATATCCATTGGGATAATAAAACAGATTAAAGCAATCCATAATACAATATTCTGGAGGCATTTGACACTAACTAGAATATATAAAATGATTAAAGTTTTAGTTTCAGTAAAATTATCCTTTGTAAATTGCCTGTGTTGTTAATGCTAAATTATTACAAAAGCCATATATGTTCATTCAAGGGAACAAGCCGAGCATAATCCTAAGAGCAGCTAAATCTAAATGGAGTGTATTATATTTTGCACTTCAATGTAAACATCTTTAGTCCTTATAACAATCATGAGGCTAGTACTGTTATTTTCCGTATTTCGTAGATAGGACACTGAGCACAAAGAAATCAAGGGACTTTCCCAGGGCTATTTAGTATTTGAACCTAGGTAGTCTAGCTTTAGAGTGTATGATTTTAACTTCTATTTAATGTCTCTTACCTGGTAGTTAAGTACTTGAGTAGTTGGGAAAAGATAGACCTAGGCTTAAATCATTCTTACTACTTGCAATACTCTTGGAATGGGAGTATGTCATTTTACCTTTATTAGACTCAAAATTCTTGTTTATGAAACAAGGGTTGCTTTAGAGAAAAAATCATTTAATATGAATATTAACTATTTAGCACTAAGTTTGGCAGCTACTGTGCTGGTTTACTCAATGGCAAATATTATTATTATAAATACTGAGAAGCCACAAAGGAAAAAAGGTCATCAAGAGAAAACAATCATTGTTAGCATCTGGAGGTATATCCTTCTGGTCTTTTAAATAATATTTCTTGATTTCATTAATGTGAGGGTAGTCAAAGATATCGCTATAAAATAACACAAACTTTTATAGAACAAAATTATCAAAATGTAAACATAGCCTCTATGTAAGTTTATACACTTATGAAAGTGTTTCTCTCACTCCTCTCTGAAGAATTCTATGTTCAATTTACAGCAGTTTGGCATTCTTGAGGGATTCAAATTAAATTCCTTTGAAATATTCTTTGAGTTTGGGGAATTAAAGAGAAAGTCTGAAAGGGCAAGATTAGAGCAGTGGGGTGGATAGGGTAAGACTTCCCAATGAACTTCCCCAAGGACAGCCCTTGTTACCCTTGAATAATGAAGCAGGTTAGCAGGTGTATTTTCATGATGGAAACAAATTCCTTGATGCAACTTCTCTGGCCCATTTTCTCTCTAGTGCAGTTTTCAATTTTCTTAAGCTTATTTATAATAACCCCCCATGATTGCCCTCGTCCCTTTGAGAAATCTCTCATGATGACCCATTGGAAATCTCCAATAAAAGTTTCCATAACCTTGAACTGACCTCAGTATCTTGAATTCAGTTGGCTCAGCCCTTCTCTTTGGAAGCCACTGTTTTGATTGATCTTTTTTTTAAGGTACCCAAATGAGTTTTAGACAAGCATATTATTGAGGGAACTCCAGCAGTCACCCACAGAATACAGAGATCTATAAACATGGTTTGTTGTTCATACATGAACTGGAGCCTTAGTAGCAATTTTTTTTTACTTATTTTTGTGTAGCTTCTTTTGTTTGTATTAACACGTTTTTTCATCAGTATCACTTTTTCTTGTTTATGTTTCACACTAAATGCAAGAAGGCTTGAATTTGACTGTATACATGAGAGTAAAGGAAGAGTGTTTTTTTGCTAGCCAAAATAGTTTTTTTCTGTGTTTTAGGTGTGGGTAGGTGAAGGTGGGAGTGGGGGTGGGGATATATGGAAATTTATATACTGTGTATTTTTAAATTAAAATTGTATCTTACTTGAATAAAAATTTTTGGTGCAGTGACTACAAATCAAGAAAAGGTAGGCTGCCATAATTAGAGAGGAGCTCCAACCTGTGTATAATAGTAATTTTTTTCAAATAACAATGACATTTTCGTTTCAGAATATTTAGAGTTTCTAACTGAAAACACTATAAATGAATGAAGCCTTGTAATGAATGAATGTAGACTGTTTCCTCTGGTGAGTGAGATTATAGCAGTCTGACCAGTGTATGTTAAATAGATTCATTGGGTTTGGTGTAGCAGTAATTAAACTAGTTGTCTCTTCTTTAATCTTATAAACAAAACATGGCTAATGCTTTTTTAAAATTTTGTGTCTTTCAGGTCTACACACAATGAGCTGGAAAAGAATCGGTGAGTCATTGATGAGATGCAGCTTTAATTTAAGTTAAAAAGCAAGCTCCTGGTTTATCCTATGACAGTGTAAATATATATCTATATAAATATGTATATATGTATATACACACACTTGTATTTAACTTTTCAACTGCTACAACATAATATTTTAGATCTGATATGTATGTATTCCCCTGCCCAAGGGAAAAAAAAGTCTTGAAAAGTAAACTTATACGAGGGGCTTTCAAACTTTGTAGAAAAGTGGAATGAAAAGTTAATGGACTTTACCCATGAGCTTTTAAATCCCTCTCATATGAAAGGAGAGTTTGGACTTTTCCTAAGAACAGCAAGAAACAGTTGAATGATTATACAGTGGATCCTCATATAATAACATATAATCAGACTTGTATTTTTAAAAAGAGCATTTTAACTGTGGTGTGAAGAATTGGGCAGAAGGAGGAGAATACCAAAGACAGGAATCCTTTTAGAGGCTATTGCAGTGATCCAGGTCCTGGAGGTAGGTGTGGACAGAACAAAGAGGTAGTATAGAGTAAAATCAATAGAAAATTTTGATTAGTTGACTGTGGAATGTTTTAGATGGTATTACAATTTTTTTTAACTGACTGTTATTATTTTTTTTAATACTTTTATTGGGGGCTGGTATTACCATTTCTTGAGAAAAGGAATACAGGAGAGAAGATAAGAGTTTTAGAAGTATAAGATTATGATTATTATCTTTTATACAATGATTAGTAACCCACAAATTGCAATCATCTGTAACAACCATTTTTGACAAATAATTCCTCCATGCCCTTCAGGTTTTTTAAGTTCTGTTTTTTAATAGAGGATCATTACAGATTGACTAGCTTACTGTTTCATTTTGCGATGAGCTAAAGTGTCGTATCCTCTATAAAATGGCATAGTTTAGTCCTCTAGGTTTACTTAGTCATTGCCCATGGCAGCAGTCGTTAGGGAGTCAAATGACACATTGCACTGGGAAAATCTGCAGAAGATCTCTTCAAAGTGTTTTAGCAAAGATGTCACTTTGAAGACTTAACGTATACGTCACCCAGGCCGTGATTTTTTCACTTGCCTCATGCATGCAAAAGCCGGGCGATGAACAAGGAGGACTGAAGAACTGGTGTCTTTGAGTTATGGTGTTGACAGATATACATACCATGGACTGCCAGAAATATGAATTGATCTGTGTTGTAAGAGGTATAGCCAGATACTCCTTAGAAGCAAATCTTCATCTCATATGCTTTGGATGTGTCATCCGGAGAGCTCAGCCCCTGGAGAAGGACATCATGCTTGGTAAAGTAGCGGGTCAGTGAAATAGAGGAAGATCCTCAGTGAATTGGATTGACACAGTAGCTACAACAGTGGGCTCCAGCGTAACAACAATTGGGAGGCTGGCTCTGGACCAGGCAATATTTTGTTCTGTTGTGCATAGGGTCACTGTGAGTCAGAGATGACTCTTCAGCACTAAATAACCACCACAACTTTGTACTGTACTTCAGACTCGTAAGACTTAACAGGTAGTATTGTGATCACCTGTTCATAGTTATTTTGTTCTGTATATGACTGCCTTAAAGGCAGAATTTTGCCTTGTTCCATTTTGTATCTTCAGTGCCTCACACTCAATGCATGTACAGTAGATGCTCTTTAATACTGAGTGCTAAAATTGAAGCCCAACATTTAGTGCTCTAGTCAAAAACAGTTTGCTAGTTTGTGGTAGTTTTCAGCAGGAGACCTTCCATTTTTTATTTCCCAGAATCTCCTTTGTTTTGCCTTATGTTTCTGAATGGCAGTATAATTCTAGATGGCTGTCTTAAATAAATCCCTAAGATTGCTGAAGCCCAGAGTTTGGCCTTGAGACTATAGCCAACAAATGTTGAGGTTCTTAATTCTCCTATCTCAGAGGAAAACCTAATGTTGGAGATTTGGGGTCTCCTAGGCCCAGAATAGTTTGCTCTGGCCCACAGTTGGCCCCAAGATGCCTATAACCTAGGGAGCTTTAGATAGTTTCAAGATGGAAATAGAAATTAAAATTCTTTCTAAAATGATCCTGAGGCTTATTTTATCTAAAATCTTGTTGGATAATCTGAACCTGATCCAGATGTTTGGAACATTTGGTTACCTGTGTACTCACGCTGTCCCCCTGCACCCGTAACAGATCATAATAGGCCCAGGAGGTAGAGGTGGGAGGGCAGCAGAATCCCTTTAGGTGTTCTGCATTCCTTAGGAACTTATGTGAATCATTTCTTGGTAAACCTAATGAGTCTCTGAGATTTAAGAATTTTCTCTGCCCATTTGGTTTACCTTTTGAGTTAAATCTTTTGCCAGAGAAGAGATCATTTAGTGCAGATTTTAGATCGCTTCATTGCTTTTTCATTTTCTTAATTCAAATTACTGATGATGTTTTGGAAAGAGTCAACAACTTTACAGGACTTTAATGGTCAAGAGCCTTAGTGCTGACTGCAGGAGAGGCAATTCAACCTTAATAGCGGTCATTCCATCGAAACAAAAGGCCTATCCTGATTATAACGTTTGGCAAAGCTGAAAGGGCCAAATGAGGACACTGGGCTAATAATGCTTTCCTAGGCAGAGCAGAAGTGCCTCAGTATTTGTGATAAAAGAGAAAGATGTTCGATGAATGGTAATAGGGGTTTCCCTGACAGAGACGTTCTCATACCTCTGAGGGAAGGAAAAATGAACATGAGCATTTATGGGGCATTGTGGGCTCTCACGGTGCTAGGAAAGCAGAAAATGTGGGTCAAAGTAGCATGGAAAACTTGTCATTTTAACTATCATAATTATAATTTGAAACAAGATGGATGTGACCAGAAATTGTTCTAATTGTTATGCTACCTGATCGTGAATCATGAATAAAATAGCTGTGTTTGGTATAACTCTCTTTATTAATGAATAAAAAATACTGTGTTTAGCATCTATTCCAGGTAGAAAGAAATATAAGATGATCTCATTCTACCTTTAAGCCTAAGGTTATTGTAGTGTGGTAATTATTGATTTCACCTTTCAATACCTTGATCTCTCTGAGTGGACATGGAATGTCAACTGTTAGTGGTCTATGTCATTTTGAAAAGGAAATAGAGTAGAAAATAACAAAGTACATTGCATGAATTAAAGTTAAGTGGAGAACTGTGACACTTGTGTATATTTCATCATACTTTGAAATACTATGGGTTGTAGTAAAAAAGCCATGCTATGAATATTCAAGGATAATGGATGCTGAACAGTGAAGAAGAGAATTTTAATATAAAGATAAATATGAATAGAGACAAGAAAGCAACAAGGTAGCACCACATAGCTGTTCAAGTACGAGTGAATATACCATATTGTGGGGAACAGCAAAATCAATCAGATTAGTAATGGGAGATAACTGGAAAGGTGGTTTGGGATTAGAGGGTGCAAAGTTATGAATGCCAATAAATTTGGATTTTTTTTTTTTCTTTTGTTGGCAGCAGTGACTTACTAAGGTTTTTGAAGAATGAGATGGGCATGCTCAAAGCATTAAAAAAAAAGAGAGGGGAGAGGAGGAAGGGAGGGGGAGGGGGACAAAAGGAAAATGAGCTGATTCCGGGAACCCAAGAGGCAAGTGAATTTTGGGAATGATGAGGGCAACAAATGTATAGATGTGCTTTACACAATTGATCTATGTATTGTGATGAATTGTATGAGCCCCAATAAATTGATTTTTTTTAAAAAGAGAGAGAGAGAGAGAATGCAGTCTAGCTGTGGAAGCAGGGAGACCGATTTGGATGCTTTTGAAGTGGTCCATGTAGTAGAAAGATGTAAGAGTCAGCACTCAGTGATGGAATTGAATTGAGAGTACAAAGAAAGATTAAGAAACATCTTATTGAAAGAATTTTTTTTCCATTAAAGGTGACCAGATTTTAACATTGGTAAAGCGGGACACCATTGATAAAACTCAATATCCTGGCAAAATAGCCACATGGCAGCCGAAAACCGTATACCCTACATGCATTCTTTCCAAAAATCGGGACTTTTAAAAAATGCCGCGGGACACGGGAAAAATTGTTAAAAATAGAGACCGTCCCACCAAAAGTGGGATGTCTGGTCACCTTACGTTAACTACCTCTACTTATTCCTCACATTTCAGTCTTCACATAGTAGCTAACGTGATCTCCTCATAAGATATATCGTGTTATGTGTACAGTCCTCCACTGATTTCCTGTTGCTGTTACATAAATCTCCTCTATAAAGTCCTACTCCATAGTCCACCTGACACTCACTCCTCCTTTGTTTCCTCAGACACACACTGTATATTTCTATTTTAGGGTTTTTGTATCTGAAGTTCTTCTTGCTTGGACTGTCTTATTCTAGTTCTTTACTTAGTTCTCAACCTTTAAGTCACGCTCCAGTTACTATTTGTTTGTATTATCTAACTTATTTTACTAGACTACAAATTTCATGTAAGCAAGGGCTTTATCTTGCTTACTTTTCCTTAGTAATATAGCAGGTACTCTGTAAATATTCACTAAATGTAAAGATAATATTAATAATGAGTAGATGTACATAATCAGTTTATGTTATTGAATTATAATGACGTAAGTAAAAAGTGATAAATATATGAAACAAAGCAAAATATTCCTGAGAGTTCAATAAGAAATGTAAATGCTGGGAGGGTGGAGTAGAAAGGGGGAACCGATTACAAGGATCTACATATAACCCTCTCCCTGGGGGACGGAAAACAGAAAAGTGGGTGAAGGGAGACATCGGACAGTGTAAGATATGAAAAAATAATAATTTATAAATTATCAAGGGTTCATGAGGGAGGGGGGACTGGGGAGGGAGAGGGAAAAATGAGGAGCTGATGCCAGGAGCTTAAGTGGAGAGCAAATGTTGTGAGAATGATGAGGGCAATGAATGTACAAATGTGCTTTACACAATTGATAAATGTATGGATTGTGATAAGAGTCGTATGAGCCCCTAATAAAACACTTTAAAAAAAGAGTTGTATGAGCCCCTAATAA